GGTGCGATGAATGCCGAAAGATGGGCTGCGAGCCCCTTGCAGCCTGGAAGACGAGCATGTATGGCGCTTGGACCTCCAAGGAGATCGCGGAGCAAAAGGCGGCAAAGCACAAGCAAGCTGTGGATATGATGATGGCCAAATTTAGGCGCGGGGACGTGGAGTCCGCTCCTCCAAGCTCACGACCTCCACGGTCCTTTGCCGTGGGTTCCGCCAGCAAGGTCGACTCAGGAAAGCCCCTTTTTCAGCTGGATTTCGGACTTATACTCAAGCCCGAGCAGATGTTTGCTTTCGACGAGACAGATATGGGTTCTGGTGCTCAGGCACGCCAAGAAGACGATGTATCTGAAGAACGTGGTCGTCGACGCACAATCACAAGAGACTTTGGCGCTGATCAACGGCGGGGTTCGAGGTCATTGTCGACGGACACGGTAGTGAGAGTTCCCCGCCGCTCGTCGTCGACAGAGACTATCAGGCGACGATCGGACGCTGTGGAGGAGATGTTGGCGCAGAGAGAGTCCACAGGCACGACGAAATCGGAGTGGACGTTTGGGGAATGGACATTTGAGGATGAGGACAAAGACAATGATGAGGAAGATGGGGATGAGGATGAGGAGAATGAGGAGGCGGAGGATGACGATGAGGAGGACATTTTAATGTCTCTCATTGCGACACCTGAGACGGATAGTGATCATGCTCAAGATATCGAGATTCTGTTTGAGGACTGAAATATCGTCCTAGACAGAACCATGCCCGATCATACTGACTCAGCACAGCCTTTCAATTGACCGGGTTCTAGGCTACAAAGCAAACAACAACAAAGAAACAAGAGATGGTGCCTGCCACTAAGCATGCGTCGAGTTGCAAGCCATTCTTGGCAAACAACACGAAGAGGAATGGGAAATGAGGAGCGACTTAGCACTAGAACAACACTGAACAACACTCTATACCCCAAAATCAGGCTCGGATAGCAATCGATCAAGCCTTGGGCGCAGTTGATGAAGGAACCCAATGTCAGGATATCGATCAACTCAGGACTCAGTTCCTTGAACTGCGAAAGGTTATGCGATTTTTATCTCGAAGAGTCTCGGAAAAGGGGAGAGTGTTAAGAGACTATTCGAGGTATTGGGGAGTTATTGTAAAGACAAAGGAAGTGAGAAGGAAAAGGTGAATCTACTTGGCATGAGATGCGGAGAAAATGTATTTTTTTGTTTGGTGGTTGAGAATCTGAATTTCTCAACCTGTGAAATGTGCGGTGTAAACAATAGAAACAATCGCCGTGGCCCTCCGAGCTCCTTTTGAGTGTAACTGGACTAAGTGGCCAAGGTTGCACCGTACCCCCTTCATCTCACCAACCGGGTGGAGTCTCAATGCACTGGTGACTGGTGCAGCCCGGGGGAAGCCGAGGAATGTGAGATAATATAGGGCTCATTACAGTCTTTCGCTTGCTGACGTCATGTCCTCCGAGGAGTGCACATGGGCCAACAAATATGAAAAAGAAGATATTTGGGAGAGAAACGCCAACTTCAATTAGCTGTCTTACATCCGGAGGTTTATGAGAGCGAATCATAGTGTAAAAGTCGGATTGCAAGAAATTGTACCTGAGTCTTGTTGATTTTGCCCCACAGGGCAGCAGCCGAATTAGCGCACAGAGCAGGCGCCTCAGTTGCTGATGGGCTCAGAGCTGCAGCCAATGGGCGGGGCGGATCGCGGTCGTGATCTCGTCGAGAATGCCAAGAACCAATGGACAGGGGTGGGAAGTCTCGAACTAGGTTTCTTGGCCGGCTGCTCCTGCTACCTTGAGCAAATCACATGGTGGTGCTGGCCTGTTGTTTGCTCATCCACCCTCTCCACGGGCGTCAGCTGTGGCCTCTTCATTGCCTTTTTCTGATGCATGCATTCGAAATCGGCGCGTTATCTCGGGCTTTTCTCCATGGCTAGCCTACGGTAGACTGTAGAGGAAGGCGGCGCATGTAAAGCATGGACCTTTGGTCCCGCTTGCTCGAGCAATCAGCTGCTGATGCAGCGGTCCCGACGAGCAGGATCGCCCCTGGACCCACTGCGGCGGCGCCTTCTACTGACCACCAAGACGATCATGAAAGTGAAGACGAAGGCACCGACACGGGAAGCCCCGTCGCTCCTGCTTCTTTTGCTGCATCACCACTGTCCTTACTCCAGACCCCCATGGCCGTCTCTTTACCTTTGCTCCTGCCGCCGGACCGTAACACATGGGACATCACCTGCTCCAAAAACCCGCAAATCTCACAAAATACAGTTCAACAACTTACCGTTCCCAACCGTCATCATCCGCCACCACTACCACCATCCGCCAACTCTAGCACCGAGGCTAATAATCCAGAAACCATTTCAAGTTCCCTTGTGTCGCGTCCCACATATGGCAGGCAACCACTGCCGTTCCTCTTGGAAAATTCGGCATCCAAGTTCAAACCTGCCTCTGGCTCAATGTCTCGCTCAACTCGTCCACCGAGCCTGGATTCGGATATGCTTGCCTCGGGCAGACGAAAGAGATTATCGTTGCTGCCGCTCCCAAAGCCACTGTCGACAGCGAGCGAAATTGCCAGGACTCCAACCCACAGGACGACCTTTCTGCATCAACGAGATGGCCCTTCTACGCGACTCGCCCCAACGAGAAGAGCTGCTTCTGAAACCACCGAGACACAAGAAATCCAGTCGGTTCCGTCGGCCATTGTCGAACACGCCCAAACTGAAGCACGCAACCACGAGGGACTTGCTTCGGGAATTTGCAACGTCATCCTGGAGAACTACGGCGTCGACGCGGACAACAGCTCAAGAACTCTGCTGGTCCGGGATGCCGTCACCCGCTGTCTCGACGAGATTTCTAATCTGATGGAGGGGACGAGCCCAACATACTTTTCATCATTGCATTCGCCCGCCAGCGTTGTCTCTAGTTTATCTGCAGGCGGTGGGCTATCAGGTCGCTTGTCCCGTCAGTCTGCGGGTCGCCGGTCGATCTATAGCAAAAGGCGGGCGCAGTTTCTGGGCCTGCCCGACGATGACAACTTGGGATTAGATGCATGGGACGACGGTTCCGTCAGCAATAGTTTGCATCGCGCTGGGCGCGACAGCCCTGTTTCTGATACTCGAGCCGATAATCAACTGCAGTACCCGTGTCCGTTTCGGAGACGGAATCCTGTTAGGTTCAACATTCGCGACCGCCCAGACTGTGCCAGAGCTCCATTTTACTCCCTAACACAGCTAAAGTGCGCGAGGAAGTCCAGAACTGCCCAACACAATTTGCTAACAAACGCCCAGGTATCACATAACAAGTCAACATGCCCTTCAAAAGTCGGCCCATCAGTGTCGTCGATGTAGGATGGGATTCGAGACCGAGGCAGCGCTCGACGACCACATGATGCAGCCAAGAGAGCGCATGTGCGAGACGAACTCGGTTGACAAGAATCGCGATCCCGAAGACGGAATAACTGACGACGTAAGCAAGAAGCTAACTGCGGGTGGCACGGAGCTTTTTGCCTGGGACGGACTATGGCATCTCCTATTTCCAACAGACGAGGAAACTGCAACTTCCGGTGAGTTATCAACACTGAGCTTCAATACTTAGCAATCTAACTAGAAATAACTCAGACTTCCATCCCGTAATTGAGCTTGTCGAAGTCGAACACGAATTTGACAAGGGCGAGGAAGCACTCAAGGCCAGCTTGCAAGATATGCTGAGGCTCTTGCTCGCTAATACTATCGACGAACACTTTCGCAGCTTCTTAGCTGGACAGTTTGAGCTCGTCTATGAGACTCACCGGGCTAATATTATGAGGCAATGCCTCAACCGCGGCTCCTCGGCTGCCGCCACTGACCAGCCTAAACCAATTGCCAAGGCAAGCAACCAACAAGTGATTCTCGGCAGACAGCAGAATCGCAGATCAAGACAGAGTGTCTTGTTCCAGACCCTCCGGTCCCCGGATACGTACGATACCACACCAAACACTCCAGGAGACATTGTATCTTCACCCCTAACACACGACCGGGATAATAATCTTGGTATTCATAATGACGACAGCCGACCGCAGCTGAACGGTCGATCATTGGGTTCGGCCATAAATGGGACATCGCGCCTCCCTTTATCCCCCTTGTCACCGACTCTTCAGTACGCGGTGCGTAACAAAACAAGATCGCCATCGCTAGCGGGAGCGAGGTCTCCTAGACTTTATGCTACCAGGTCTCCACGCGGTGAAGAGATCGAATACCCCGGTCCCCGAGACTCTCGGGACTCGGGTATTAGCATTGCATGCCATCTATGCGAGGTGGACGTATGTAGATGCGATAATGTGGCCGGTGTGCCATTGGGTGGAAATGGGGACACTTCTCTGCTAGCAGAGCCTGTGTTCGGCACAAGGGACCATCAGAGCGAGCTCACTAACCCAGAGACTAAGCAACAAGCTCTCGCAGATACGGTAGCTCAGCACCGGCTTCGACATCAACCGAACCTGCGGGTCACGACGAGGACTCTCGAGGCTCTGGTCTCGCCAACTAGTGGCGAGCCCTTTCACTCTCCGCAGTCGTTCAAGGAACGGGTGCTGAGGAAGCATGACACGCCGTCTCAGGGATCTGTTGCGGGTAAGAGGAACGTGTCTGCCTGAGTTTATGTGAACTGGGGGAGACTGGGAGGGTTTTAATATTTGGATAATATGTGATTTTGGTATAAAAGATTGGAATCTGTGATATTATTGGCATTGTTGGCATTGGCATTGACATTTAGAGGGGGGAGGAAGGGGCATTATGACGCGTGATTTGGGAAAGGATTCTAGAAGCAATTTAAACGAATCAAAATTACAGTGGTAAGATGGTGGTAGTTTGGCTACATTAGTAGCCGTAATACATATTCGTTAATGTGTTTACGATTGTCTTATTTTCTTAATTCATAGTGGAAATTATAAAAGATGCTACGAAGGGATACCAGCCAGTAGAGAAAAAAAGAAAGACAACGGGAACAAGGAGACAAAAGGAGATGGGACCTGTGAGGTTCGAACTCACGACCTCTGGATGACTCTGATGTTGAACAAGCAGATCATATCTAATGATATGAGACCAACGCGCTTCCAACTGCGCCAAGGTCCCGGTATTGAATTGATGAGAATGGCGATTTGGAATAGGCTATTTCAGTCAGGTAAGCTATGGCTTGTGGGCAGAGGTAGAGTAAGGTGGAGGGTGTGGTGGAGTGGAAGCTGTCAAAGTTGGGGCTGGGCTGAGTCATGGCATTGCCAAAAGAGAAAGAAAATGTGGACGAGATGGACGAGATGAATTTACGAGTGATATGGAAGGAGAGACATTAGGAAAAAGAATAAAAGAATAGGATAGTTGTGGTGTGTGTCGGCTACGTGGAGTCTGTGTGGGGCATGTGAGAGAAGTTCAGTTTGAAGACGATAGAACAGCAACTAGAAGAACATGGTGAAGAACAGAAAAGGAAATGATATTTTCAGTCCACGAGAGACAAATGACAAAATACAACGATAGAGCAAAAAGACAAAAGAATTGGTTGCTTCTCCTCGACCGGAATCGAGCCGGTGACCTTTCGATATGATTTATCAATTACAGTCGAACGTGATAGCCAACTACACCACAAGGAGATGTTAACGCTTCCATTTGTTGTTGAGGTGGACCGAGATGTTGTTGGTTTTGTTCGGGCCGAACGTTGTTGAGCCCCTGAGCTTGTCACGTTGTCCCCTTTGGTGGGTTGATCGTTGTTGGACGCTTGACGAGATCGACGCTAGGCAGCTTTGGGACCCGGCTACTGAGGTACGCACCTTAGTGTGAGCTTAGTCATCATGGCATCAGGTAGCCCCACATCACCTGGGTTTTGGTAGACGGGAGCTTAGGTCGCTAACGGCTCGGCTCAGGCTTCGGTGAGCAGACCCACCGCCCGCGCCGGGGGCGTCCTGTCCGGTCCCGGGTGATGGCGGCCAGGCCCAGGTCGGATCGGCTGCCCTTGCTCTTTTATGCGTCCTTTACAAATACACCGATGATGCATGAAAAAGAACTGCCTATGTGCCCAAACTTCTGGCTTAACTCGTGCACAGTCGGATGCTTGTCCCCGTCTTACCGAGGCAAAACATCTCTCACTCTCGGTCGATCGTCAGTCCGGTCACTATGAGTCCCTCAGTTTCACACATAAACGTTAGCCGCAATCCGTGCTACCCGGGGCACTCGGAGCTCTTCGGAGTGAGACACAGCAGATACGAACTGCCATTTTTTCTTTTTGTCCTCAGATCGTCCTACTTACCTGTCCCAAATGCGGGGTTATGCTGGGGAAAATATTGTACACGTGTGTCGCAAAAACAAAAAGTGCAGTTTTTGGCGGGCAGCATCAGTCGTTCCTTCCTCACTCACCCATTCAGCAAGCCACAGCCGGCTGCGATTGGAATTGATCGTCAATCGGGCAAGCACGACTGACGATCAATTCCAATCGCTCATCATGTCAGATAGAAAATCTAGACTTGTGGTCTGGCCATCTCTTTCAAAAAAGGCTGACGGTCAAAGCAAGGGATGCGTAGTGTGACTTTTTGCTGTTTTCGTTTCTTTTCAGCGACTACCTGCAGATGACTATCGAGGGCGATCATTGCTTGAAGTGAACACTGTGGTGGTGGTGGTGGTTCGTGAGGGGCCAGAGCCCAGAGATGGTGGGCTGTAAGCTCGGGCCCGCGCTTGCCGCGACAAGTCTGGAGATGCGGGCTGGGTGGCAGGTGCGGCTATGGATACAGCCTACAGATACCTAGATTTACTGTGTGGTCTTTAGATATCACCGACACTGGACAAAGGGAAGAAAAAAAGAAAAGTCCGATAGCGACGCAAGCACAGTGGTTGGTAATACTGTGCAGGTGATCGTCAATTTCCAGCTGGTGGGTAGAAAGCCTCTTTTCTCGGGAGTTGTATGGTGCATGAACGATTGAACTAAACGGAGATATTCAGGTCGTTCAGGACTTCAGTTCGGGGCCGCATTATCTGTCATTCTGTCGTCCATCATCGATATTTTCAACGAGCACAAAAGAAGGTAGACAAGGCTGCTGAACGGCGAGGTGCAGCGCAGTGTAGATGCGACCTCAGGCTAGCACTAGAAGGTTTATAAATACATCGAGTGCACCAGCTCAGCTTCTTTTCTGCCTCTTCCCGCCCCTCGGATGAGGCTCAGCTATGCCACAAGCCGTTTGGCATCATGCACCCCTGTGTACGTGTTGGTTAGAGAGTGGCGGAGGAAATCGCTGATTGGCTGCATTCGAGGGCTAGAAGGAGCATTGGGATGCAACAGGAGGGAAGGAGCTGCTGTGTGTGTGCACTATCAGGGCAGTGGGTGCAGTGGGTGCAGTGGGTGCAGCGTGCTGTGCCCCACCTCGATTCTCTTCTTGTCTTGTTCCGCTGACTGAGAACCCCCATTTTGGGCCTCTCGAGTCTCTTTCGCACAGTAACACAGCTTAATGTGCAACCAGCTCCCGTCCCCCTTTCCTGCAAGTCGGCGAGAAAAGTGACCAGAATGGACCGCTCAGCCGATGCGGCGCTGTCTGCCGAAGCCTGCAAGCAACCAACCAGCATCTTCCCCACTGGAAGAGGAGGGGCGTGAGACACTGCAGACAGTGCTAGGTCGGCCTACCGTCAGGTTTCATTCGCGAGCGCCACATTGTTGGGTGTGTCTCCATCTGCTTTCTGCAGTGGCAGCGCCGTCTGTCTGGGTCTATGTCGAGCATTTGTCTCTTGCAGAAACCCAGATGCCCTTCTTTCGTCCAAGAAGCCGAGTGAGGCTGTCTCCTCGGCGATTGTATTAAACCATGGCTGGGTGCCACCCGCCACGGGCGCGATCCAATCCCTCAAATCTCCTTTTGAGTAAGAGATCTAAGCTCATTCTTTACCTTGTTCCTAGATTGGCTACTTGGCAGCTATCATGGGTGCCTACGTTTCGAGGGAGCAGTGCCTCGCCAACTACAATGTCCCTCTCAATTGCAGCTATACGTTGTCTCCCGATAACAAGACGGCATTGAACCTAGGTGTTTTCCAGGAGGGCCAATTCGAGGGCGATCCAGACATTGCCGGCATTGGTGTAGGCTTCTATCCTTCTGTTCCTCATGTCTCGATGTCTCGATGCTTGACACCGTTACTGACCCCGTTACTAGGTTCTCGGCGCCTTTCTTGCGGTCACGGCATTCTCCTTCATACTATCTATCCTCAACACGATATGGTGGTTCTCCAAGAATATCTTCCGCTGGAAGAATCGCATTACAAGAGAGTATGTCACCCATGCATTACATCAAATATCCCATACTAATACCACCTTCTATAGGGAGAAGGCTATGAAGAAATGGGAGCTCAGCATCGCCGGCTTCTTCGAGGTGCTCGTCATCACTTGCAGTGACCAGCAGATCTTTACTGGCGGCGCCTATGCCATCACCCTCCGCTATGCCAAGGGCTGCTCAATCTCAGCCTACCACTACGACATCGTAGCCAACATGCTGCTCCTGACATGTGCCACCCATCTTTCGGCCGTCACTATCGCCCGCCACTACTGGAACCACCCATATGTGGCCATACTCCGCATCGTAGTCACCGCCCTCGTCTACACCGTTACGGGCATCTTGCTGTCCAACCAGGGCGTCGGCTCCTTTGGCTTCCCGACTGAGGTTCCCGCCGCCACCGATACCTTTAGCGTGATACTCCTCCCCGCTGCCTGCTTCCAGAGCAGCTCGGCTCAGTTCGCCAGCTCCTTGCAGCACACTTTCCAGGGCAGCGCCGCCGACTTCTTCAAGGCCCAGATTCCCGGATGGACACAGTACCTGGTCATGTTTTTATTCTATGTCGTGGCTGTCTTTGTCAGCGTCGGTCGCTTCGTCCGGCGTGGAACGGGCCACGATGGGCGGCGGAAGAAGGCCGTGTCGTGGATGCGGAGGTCGTGTGGCTTCATGTTCAACAAGCGGATACTGCATGCTTTTTTCGGGCTTTACCTAGTCGCCGGCTTGGGGATTGCGGGGTGGACGATTGTTTCCTCGACGCTGTACATTGTCGGCCTGCGCGCCTGGGTTGACGGGTCTGGCTGGATCAGCAAGCCAGACGGGGTAAATCCTGAGAATGACCCTGCATCGTTTGGGCAGCTGGTGCCGGTGTTGCTGATTGCCCTTACCGTGTTTACGTTTATGCAGATCCTCAGTGGTGAGTATTCTAGAGCTCCTTTAACTTCGCTGCATGTAGCTAACACGTTGCGACAGAGCGCCTGACAATCCGCCGCAAGGCCGTCAAGCGTCGCGAAAGCCAAGCACTTAGGAAGCAACAACAGCAGAATGGCGGTGGTGGCGATGGGAAGATTACATACCGCAACTTCAGCAGTCCCAACCCGGGCAACCGCTCTCAAACTCCCAGCATCGAGAAGAAACCTTCCATGGGCATGTCTGTCCACGAGACCGAGATCATGATTGACAACAGGCTGCCCCTCATCGACCAAAGCGGCCCCTTCTTTGTTCAACAAGCTCACGCCGAAACTCATGCTCAAACCTACGCTCAAACCCACGCTCAAGCCCAGGCAGCTCAATTCCAGGTAGCCCAGGACCACTCGCGCAACCACAGCCGTGGACGCAGCATCACCAACCAGTCGCAGACCCAGCTCCAGTCTCAAACACCACCCCAACCGACATCACCCCGCCCGGCAATGTACAGCGTTTTCCCCAATTCCTCCCAATCGCCCTCGCCCACAGGCAGCGGTAGCGCCAGCAACGGCAGCCCCTCCCCACCGGGCACGGCCTCCGCCCGCCTCGGAGGCTCAGACAGTCCCGCGCCTCCCCAAATCCCACGCAAGAGCCGGTCCCGCTCCGACGTCCGCCGCGTCCCCACCGGCAACCTGCCCCTCAACGACCCCATCAGCAGCCCGATCCTCTCCCACGACGACCAGCAGCATCAGTACTACAACTTTTCACCTGAGCCGCCAACGTCGCCGCCTCTGGGCAAGCTGCCGCCTTCACCGTCGCAACAATCATTAGCGCAATCGCAAAGACAGCAGGGCGGCCATGTGCGCCAGCAGAGCAGCATGGAGCGGGTGCTTCCGCTTAATGGGATGAGGAGCCAGAGTAGCATGGATTATATGCGCG